TGAAATACTGGAGGATGGAAAAAGAGGTCAAATGTGAACTCCCAATGAGACTAATCAGGTCAAGGGTGTGACTTTTTAAGTGGATTAAGTATTTGAGGAATGGTGAACAGGTGAGAATAGCTGATTGAAGTGCTATTTGGAAATGACATTATTCTAGACATGTTATCTGTTTTAGATGTGATTGAAGGAAAGAAGTTTGCTTGTGTTTTCTTCAGAGAGTGCTTGATTCTTCAGAATAAGTTTACCTGCAATTGTTTCAAATGAGTTGGATTTTTTTTCTCTCAAGCTAGGTATATAATCTTCACTTGCATTAATGAGAACAGTTTGCATCAAGAAGAATTTACCATCCCTTTCAGACTCTCTCTTTTAAATGATAGTGCATTAGTGCTATTGAATACAGAATTTTCTGGAAGCATTATCCAGCTACTGTATTGAATTTCTGCTTCCAAGTTTAGTCTTCTTGCTACTCTTTTCTCCATGGAAATTTAGACTTGTAATTACACCAGTATATTCTGTGCCAGAGTGAAAACAAAACCATGTTGCATTCAGACTGTGTGTAGTCGATTTGCAGTATTTGTAGGTGTAATTTATTGTATGTGAGTGTGCAGAGTGCTGCTCTAACTGTAGACATGATACTGAAACAAATGCAAACAAACTAAATGCTCAGTGGACTTCAATTAGTTGCATTTCAATTACAGTGCTAATTAAACGGAACCAACCCAGGCGGCCTTACCTCATACATTTGGAGCTGGTGATCAGCTAAATGTGCATATTGTGTGTGGAGTGAAACTGCTCCTCAGAAAGAGGTGCACTCTATGCTGAAGAATATGTGATACATACATACTTGATAATTGCTTTTATGTTGTGTTTTTCACTCCACAGCTGTCAAAACAAGGAAGAAACATTCATGTGTGGCAATTGTCAGACCTGCTGCAGTGGCTGTTAAGAAATAGAGTATTGTAATTACTCAGACATACTGTCCTGGGTTCAGCAGTAGCAGTCATGTTTCTCCTTCGTGGTAGTTGGTGCGGTGCTGTGTTTTGACTTCTAGCCTGGTAACAGTGTTGGTGATACTGATGTTTTCGGTTGTTGCTAAGTGATGTTTACCCTGACCAAGGACTTTGTGAGGCTCATGCCCTGCCAGGGAGGAGGGGAAGCCGCGAGGAAGCAGAGACGGGGCGCCTGACCCAGGCTAGCCAGGGAGGTATTCCATACCACAGCACGTCATGCCCAGGGTGGGGGGTAACTGGGAGTTACCCAGAAGGACACGGGCTTCCGGGTGGGACTCGTTTCTTGGTCAGTGGTATCGTATTCTCTTCCCTTGTTATTTTCCCTTATCATTGTTGTAGTTGGTAGTAGCGGTGGTGATTTGTGTTGTACATTGGTTGCTGGACTGTTCTTGTCTCAACCCGTAGGAGCTGCACTCTTTTGATCCTCCTCCCCATCCCTCCAGGAGCGGGGAAGGGGAGAGACCTGGGGAAGGGGGGGGGGGGGGCTCGATTGTTGTCAGCCCGGCACCACTCACTGGGAGTGAGTCTGGCTAGGGTTTAAACCACGACACATACTATGAGGGAGAAACCTTGTAAAGTAACTACGGTGCTCACTTCTTCCATTTTCCGTAGCAGTTTCAGAAGTCAAAGGTGAGGAGGGCAAGAGAATTACATCTTGTCCAAAAAGAATCCTTTTATACCAGATGATCTAGTAAATCTTAGTAAATGATTAGTCACTTAAAAGGTAGACTCCTCAGTGAATCCTGAATGCATATTGATGATTCTTTTACTACATTTTCATAAAAGTAAACAAATGGAATAGAGTGGCCATAGGGTCCTTAGATCCACAGTCAGCAAACTGGCCACCCTAATGGTTGCTACTGGATAATTCTGAAATTACCTTGGGAAGAATCTGTCAGTGCAGATGCATTTAGCTACAAGCAGTATGCATCATGAGTGCTTTAGAGGTATAAAATGCAGTAACTGATCAGAATGCACTGAGATTTGAGTGGAAGCCCAACTTCCTTTCGTTTGCATCATAGTACACACTGAGGTGTCCGCTGAGACTGTGTCCTCTTGGGCCAAGAAATGTAGGTTAAGAGATTTCTTTTCCCATCCACATGCCATGCCAACCCCTTCCTTAAGTGTAGAGGATAAAAAAGAGATAGGCGTAAGATTGAGGGAAAGGCAGCATCACTTTTCTAGGTGAGGAACTGGGTCAGGGAGAGCAAGAATGAATAGTCAGCTGCCAAACAGAAAAAGAAGAGACTGTGTCCAGCCAGCACCTCTCTCTTGCTGGATCACAGGGTACTCTGTTCTTTTCCTGGCAGTCCAAAATTGGCATACCTGAGATTTTCCTTTGTTTTCTTTGAAGCCTGACTTTGGCACAAGTCAATGGGAAAATACACTTCAGCTTCAACAAAGTTATTTGGATCCTGCTACTGTATTAGATCCCCTACATGTATGGTGGAACTGCGTGGAGACAATTGTTCAGGTCTTTCTGGAAATTTTGTGATGTAATGTCTTCATTCAGTTAGTAAAATAAGATTATTTTAGAAGAATGATTACATTTAGTCTTATCTAGCCCTCCACAATAAAGAAATGCCCTCAGAGTTTACAAAGACACTGAAACAAGCAGTGCCAGTACTTACAGGTTAGTTAAGAGTTGATGCTTTCTGACTAAGAAATGTGTAATCCCGTAACACTCCGTGCAGAGATTGGAATGGCAGTCAACTTGGGTTAAAGTAAAATAATTTTTTTCACCAGAATTTGGTGTAACTCTTCTTTTGTGTGTGTGTGTTACCATTATTTTTAAGTTATAAATAAACTTTGTTCTGAAAGTATCTGCATGTATCGCTTATGTTTTTGTGCACATCTGAAACTATGAATTCTGCTATTGTTGTCAGTCAGGATCTGTCTCTTTCCACTGTGTTACTGTATGGAGTAACATAAAGCTACTGAAGGAGGTAGAAAAAAATCCTGTGAAGCATCTGGGTATATGACTGCATGTATCTGGGTATATAGATCTTGTGCATCCTGCACCATTATGTTTGGGATGCATCCATAGTATCATGTGGTTTGTCTGATGGCTAGTCTGCCAGGAATGGACAAGAATGGTGAGTGGGGAAAGCAAATAAAGTCTTTTAATTTCTGAATGCCTGTTTATAGTCATCTGGGAAGTATTTGGCAACATAGGAATATAGTAGAGGAAATGCAGTATATTGAGGCCATAATTAATATGGCATTTATTTTAGAAAAGGAAAACCATAGAACTTTACTCTTAACCAATTCTGAGACTCATCCCTGTGTGGGTGAACCTGTGATATATGTGACAGAATTGGACAAAGATCAGATAAGATTCTAAACAGATTATACAAAGGAATAGAAAAGTTGATAAGGGTAATGATGCAAAATACAAAAGCTTTTATCACCCTCCCATTGGTGAAAGCATAACTTGGTAAAACATTTTTAAATGTACTGTGTCAGCTGCAGAAGTTCTTAAACTGAAGCCGCTTTTTTAATCATGTATGAAATATGAGGTAAGTCGTTATACAGTACCTATGTTCCTGGGTATAAAACACTGTTGATCAAAACTGTTGGGGACATGCTGTTCCGTACTGCAGTCTGTGTCTTCCGCCTTCCTGCCCACTGGAGAGGGGAAGCAGTTGTATGTTCTGTCTGAGAGAGCAGCCATCTGCCAGCAGAGAGCAGTGCAGCCCGCTCCCGGTCTGTGAGGGGCAATAAACGGAAACGCGGGGAATAAAGCGGATGAGTAGGGAAAAACACACAGAGAAGCACTAAAAATGTAGCGGCAGAACTGAATTGTAAAGATGAGGCAGAGAGGATTCTCTCAAGGAGGAAAATAATGAAGAATGGAGGCAATGCAAGGAGGGCATGGAAAGAGGAAGGGAAACCCAAAAATACAGACTACTAGAAAGCAAATTGGAGAACGGGAAAAAACAAAAAAAAACAAAACCACAAAAACAGAAAGGAAAGGGTGGAAAATGGACATGGAGGATGAAAGTAAAAAGTCTTATGAAGAGATGGGGTAATTCCCCTTTCCTCCTGTGACAGAGGAGAGTTCCTGATGGTGGGCACGGAGGAATAACAGGGACCTGGAAAGTGCTACTGCTTTTTAGTATGATAGAGCAATAGACAGGTTCTTGTTCTTAATGCACTTTCTGTATTGTCATTTGGATGAATTATCCCTGCGTGTGCATACTGATGTTAATCTGTAATTAACAAGAATAAAAAAAATACCACAAAGTGATTTTCAAAATGTTGGTCTTGGAGAGCGTTGTTTCCCATTGTAATGTTATTTTTCCCCAAAGAGTTGTGCCACAGCTTGCATAGTATTTATTCCTGTTTCTCACAGTTGTTTTGTTGTTTTTTTTTAACTAACTAGGCACTTTAATAATACATTGTATTAAGATGATCAGGTAAATTTCAGCTGCAGAGTATGGCATTTCCTACATCTAACTCCAAAAGTACATCATAATCCAGCATTATGAAGTACAGGGCTGTCACTGTTTTAGGGGATAAAAGGAAGGGGAAAGGAGGTTGTCTGTTCTTGCAGTGGGTGCAGCATGTCCACAAAGCCAGCTTGTTAAGGATTTTCCTAGATTATTACTTGAATACTGAAAGTGAATGTTTTTTTTTTCTCCCCTTCCTGCTGTAGCATCTCCCCAAAGTCTTTGTAAAATGTCAGTGTGTTATGTAAAATCTGCAGCTTTCTAATGGTGCTTTTGGGCTTACTGTGACCTTTTGAAATTGTTACAACCCCCATCCCCATAATCCCCCAACTTTTCTTACTTAATTGCACATGGGAATAGCAATCAAATTTATTGTTATCCAGGTGCCATTTCCTTTACTTAGCTTTATAGTGTTGTGTATAGTAGTTAGCATGCAGAAAGCTGGAAACATGCCTGCAACTCCAAAATGAACTCTCTGTAGCCGTCTCCCTCCCACTTACACTCTCCTTTAGTACCGCCCTTTCCATGCGCCCTTTAGCCAGCAGCAAGACAGCTGTGTTTGATCATAAACCACTTAAACTCCAGGCTTACTGGCAGGGAAAACTTTAGCGTGAAGTGCAGCATTGGTTCATCTCAAATGGAGGAGCTTTTCTCTCTTTTCCTTTCTCCCTCATTGAAGACTGTAGCAGCACTTTCTTTTTAATTTCTCCGTGAACTTGTATGAAGCTCATCAAATTTTTCTGAGTACGTTAGTGGCATTGGGAAATGCTCTTAAACAGGGCTGTGGAAAAGAGCAGCACAGAACAAACAGCAGAGATGAAGCACACCTTGGAGATGGACTAAGACAGCCTTGGGATCCTGGCAAGCAGTTCCTTCCCTGGATTATCTGAGCACTTCACAATATTAGCAAGTCTCTTGCAGCAATGGATTGTCTGTGAAGTCAAAATCAATTTGGCTCTTTTAGTAGATTTTGCATTGTTAATTTAAACTGTCAGTGTGGAGTATAAATGGCTGTCTAGAGCAAAATGTGTCAGACATAAAATTTTGGAAAAGAAAGTATTGAATCAGTTGAACAAAGCTTTGAAGCATTAAAATCTGCAGAAGTCATCAAGCCCTGAGAAGTCTAATCATGAATTCTGGAGTTGCTATGAAATATGGAAATGACTCCCCTGCAAAGCTGAGTGAGGTAAGCAGTTTCAGTGCCCTTCTTTATGCTTTAGAAAGAAACGCTTCCCTTTGGGGCTTTTCAGTATGCAAGCAATGCAATTAAAAATCGATAGAATGTGTATTTTGCTATAACTTGCTATGCTAGTCAGGAAACGACTGAACTTTTTTGCTGCTTTTCTCTGAATAGATGGTGAAATCCAAATTATTGTAACCATGTAGAGACATTTTTCCTGTTACCCTGCAGTAGAGCTTGCCTTGCCTCTGAAGAGCTGTCTTTATACCCAATGTTAATTTTGCAGTAGGTGAAATAGACATCTCAGCTGAGATTAAGCAGATGGTGACTAGTTTAGAAGGAGAGTGGGAAGAAGGGAAGATGACAAATATTTATTGGTAAGACAACAGTGTGGTCAGAATTTGTGTTTGCTTGTATTTAGCCATGGTGATGATGTGTATTTAGGTTAGATGAATTAAGTTACTTCTTTGCCTAAGAGAAAACAAGCCATGTGAAACTTTATGCTTTTCCACCGGTAGTAAGCTGTTATTTCCTGCAGTTGTGGGTATGTCTGCTTTTTGTATAACAAGTCTGTGTGTGTTGTGTTTTTAATAAATCTGAAATTATAGCCATATCAATGTTATGCAGATGCTTAATAAACATTTTAGAAATGGCATATTTTGTCAATTACCGAAATGTCTTAGGTACGTCATCCTTTACAGGCTTTACTAAGAACTGCTCGTTTAGTTATGCTGCAAAATCCAAAGCATTTGATTAAGGTCACTTTGTAGAAAATTGAATATGCAGCCTGTATTGTCCTAGTTTAACTGAAATGCTTCTCTTTCCCTTTTGCCAATGTCTCTGATACAGCTTTTACTGTAACATATCGTTTGTTTATATGTGTAAATATTACATAGGATATGCTTGGCAGAATGAGAGAGTTGACATTTTCTGGCGTGCATTGTACAGAGAAAGGAGACACTGGGGTATAGAATGGAAAATAAATCAGTAGGCTAGTGAGGGCGACAAAGTATAGGGGGAGGCAGAGTATATGTGTAAGACCTGAGCAAATACAGTACGCTGCTGTGCAAGAGGAACAGCACGTTTGTGACTGGGCAGTTCTTGTGAAAGACATTTCCTGTGTTCCTCCTTTAAGTACAAAAGAGTTCTATTTAATTAACTCTGTGTTACTTTAAAAATAATGTGCATATGTGTCTAGCAGTGCAGTATAAATGGGAGTCATAAACTTAGCATAAAAGCTCAGGTTACTTGTGCTAGGAGTTTGCCAGAGTCTTTCTGGCTACAGTTGTATTGGTGGCCTGCTGATTACTGCTTTCTGTCCCCTCAACATTTAATTTCCAAGACTCTGCAGGATCACATAAAACATGGAGTGACACAAAGACTTGATGTTTGGGTTGTTACCTGAAGCAAGGTAGCACTGCTACCTTGAAATACTATCTATGGGAGTTTACTTCACACATCCACAAAGTTAAGACTTTTGTTATAAGAAATACCTTTTTTCTGATGTTTTAACATGGGAAACACTGAAAAAAATGTGTAACTATGTGCTGTGCAGCATTTTTGTTGTGGGGGTTTTGTTTGTTTTTTTTCCAGCAAATTTACTATTTAATTCACATTTGTCCTCTGGCACTGCAGGTGAGTTAGAAATAGGGCCCTTTCTGACTGCAGACGTACTAGGGAAGATCTTGCACTCCTAACTTTCTCATCATTGCTTTGCTGCTAGTCTTCACCTTTGGGATTTTTGCTGCTTGTACAAATGTGCTTTTAGACTGAATCATGCCAAGGGCCAGGTCAGCTTCAGCTTGACTGGTCTTAGATAAAACTGTGTGTTTTCATTGAAATGTGGAGGCCTTACAGCATCATCATATTCCAGCTCCCATGGAGGAAAAAATGCGTAAGTACTCTGAGACAGTTGCTCACCTCTAACCATTATTCAGTTACTCAGCCAACTCCCTGTGGTTTGTATGCTCATATTAAGCCTTTTCCTGTTGTTGATGGGTGCCGTTTTGCTTGCTGTAGCTGAAGATGGAAAATCCTGGCTAAAGGCTCTACCTATGGTTTGTGTATGTGTTTCTCACCTGTATGTATGTCATGCTCATCCCCTTTTCCTTCCTTTCTGGCTGTATCTTCTGTATGATGTGTTTTGGTTTTGATTAGTGGAAGACAGTGGTGTTGTGTCCATTTAAACGTGGAAAAACTGGCTACAATAAGAATTGATTAAATGATTGCTCTCTTTGTGTGTTTTCAACTGCACCTCTATCTCTACAGTCAGCTCAGATTTTCACATTATAGTGGGTTGCTACCAGTATATATGTCTGAATAGCAAATATATGGTAGCAGACCAATAAAGACTATGATTCAGGTGCACAGTGGGTTTTGGTGTAGGTGCCTTGATCTTTTTATCTCAGTACATGGAGATTTTGGCATGAAAGTGTTGTTATTTGAAATAATCAAGAAAAACTACAAAGCCCTTAAGATATGGTAAGTTCTTGAATGAATGCTTTAGACAAAGTAGAAAATGAAATTATTTGAACTCATTCCATTTGTATTGAAACTTTCTACTAGAGATTTACATATCTTTTTGGGCAATGGGCAAAAATTAAGGAATATTTTTTTCCAAGACATGGTGTGATTGTGTTTGGTTGATGTTTGCTGTCCTTGAACTCTTGCCCCAGTAAATGGAGATCTTGATGGTCTTATTTACTCACCTGCCCCCATCCAAAGGTCATGAAGAAAGCAAAAAAAACCCCCAACCCTCTGATTTCTGTCATAGGTCAATCAGACATCTACAGAACTTATGCTCTATGGTTTCTTAGCTCCAGAGTTCAAGCTCGTTTATTGATACATACATTGATATGTTACCGCATTTCTTCTGCATTTTCTCCCCTTCAGCCTTTTCTTTCTTCTGTCCAAAGAAAGAAAGATAAACCAATATGCTGTTTGCGTAGTAGATACAGTGTGTTATAACTGCATAGAGATATAGAAGTAGTAGTATCATTTTTACATAGCAAGGTTTGCTTGGTGGTGCTGTTGGATTTGAGAGGTTTTAAACGTTTCATTAAGAGAGGCAAATTTAGAAACTCTAGAATTTGCAGATGGCTGTTGCTATACTCCATGAGAATGTACAACAGCCTTTGATACTTCTGTAAGTAAGTAACAAGCTTTGTCTGTCCTACTGTTACGGGTTTTGACAGGGTTTTCACCTGTCAAAATTATGGCTTAACGTAATTCATGGTGTTTGCTTTTTAAGGATAAAGCAAGGAAGGATGTAATTTGTATGCCATACATGCCACCCAAATTAGGCAAGTACTGTTTGGATCCCTTCGATGTTTTAGTCATACAATACTGTGAACATTTAATGTAATCACAAGGTGCATTTTTAAAGCCAACATTGTGAACATTACTGGCAAAATCTTGGAACAGCTTCTCCTGGAAGGCATGCTAAGGCACATGAAAAACAACAAGGTGGCTGGTCATGGCAAGCATGGCTTCACTAAGGGGAAGTCTTCCCTGACTAATTTGATGGCCTTCTATGATGGGGCTACAGAACTGATGGACAGGGGTAGAGCAGTTGATGTCATCTACCTGGACTTGGGCAAAGCGTTTGACACTATCCCACACAACATCTTTGTCTCTAAATTGGAGAGACATCAGTTAGATAGGTGGAGCACTCAGTGGATAAAGAACTGGCTGGATGGCCGCACACAAAGAGTTGTGGTCAATGGCTCAATGTCCAGCTGGAGACCGGTAATGAGTGGTGTCCCTCAGGGGTCAGTGTTGGGACCGGTCTTGTTCAACATCTTTGTTGGTGAAATGGACAGTGGGATTGAGTGCGCCCTCAGCAAGTTTGCCGATGACACCAAGCTGTGTGGTTGGGTTGATACGCTGGAGGGAAGGGATGCCATCCAGAGGGACCTTGACACACTTGTGAGGTGGGCTGATGCCAGCCTCATGAAGTTTAACCATGCCAAGTGCACCTGGGTCAGACAATCCCAGGCACAGCTACAGGCTGGGGAGAGAAGAGATTCAGAGCAGCCCTGTGGAGAAGGACTTGGGGGTGTTGGTCAATGAGAAAATGAATATGAGGCAGCTTCAGTGTGCGCTCACAGCCCAGAAAGCCAACCGTATCCTGGGCTGCATCAAAAGGAGCGTGACCAGCAGGTCAAAGGAGGTGATCCTGCCCCTCTGCTCTGCCTTCAGGAGAGCTCACCTGGAGTATTGTGTGCAGTTCTGGTGTCCTCAACATAAAAAGGACATGGAACTGTTGGAACAAGTCCAGAGGAGGGCCACAAGGATGGTGAAGGGACTGGAGCACCTCCCGTATGAAGACAGGCTGAGAAAGTTGGGGCTGTTCAGCCTGGAGAAGAGAATGCTGTGTGGAGACCTCATAGCAGCCTTCCAGTATCTGAAGGGGGCCTATAGGGATGCTGGGGAGGGACTCTTCATTAGGGACTATAGTGATAGGACAAGGGATGATGGGTTAAAACTTAAACAGGGGCATTTTAGATTGGATATAAGGAAGAAGTTTTTTCCTGTTAGGGTGGTGAGTCACTGGAATGGGATGCCCAGGGAGGCTGTGAATGCTCCATCCCTGGCAGTGTCCAAGGACAGAGCCTTGGGTGAGATGGTTTAGTGTGAGGTGTCCCTGCCCATAGCAGAGGGGTTGGAACTAGATGATCTTAAGGTCCTTTCCAACCCTAACTATTCTATGATTCTATAATTCTACTGAAAACACGTACAGGTAAGCAGTTTGGTGCATAGAAACTGCAATTACAGACTGATTTTGTCATAGCTAAAAATTAAACGTTTTATCAGAATGTATATGCTTTGTACATACTCAGGGTTTCTGCAGAAAGGGGTGCTCATCTCGAGATGTAATCTATATCTCCTTCCAAATTCAGTGACACTACCTGGCGTTAAGCTCCATCATTCTGTGGAGGTACCACTACATAGTAGGTTTGTTCTTGTATGTTCCCCTGGCCATCCATTGTTGAGATGGTGCAATG